GCCAGGCCGCGCTGACCGCCCCGCGGGGCTGGCCGGAGGGCTGGGGGGTGGACACCCACATCTCCTTGACGAAGGTGGCCTCGGGGTTGGGGAAGATGTTGCCCTCGTTGCGGCCCAGGGCGCTGCCCGGGCAGAAAAAGTTGATGCGCAGGTAGGTGTAGTCGCCCTCCACCGACATGCTGATGTTCTGGGGAGAAACGCGGGGAAATCGGGGTCAGGGTGGAATGGGGGGGAAAAAACGGGGATTTGGGGTGGGGAGAGAGGGGAGGGGCAGAGAAACGGGCTTGGGAAGGGGGTGGGACCACAAAAACACCTGGGATGGGATGGTGGGAACCCAAAACCGCGTCCAGGTGTGGTGGGACCAAGAAAAACACCTTGAAATTGGAGGCAGGAACCCAAAACCACATCCAGGTGTGGTGAGACCCCAAAACCAAGCAGAATGGGATGGTGGGACCCCAAAACCACGTCCAGGTGTGGTGGAACCCCAAAACCACCTGGAATAGGATGGTGGGACCTCAAAACCACCTGGAAATTGGAGATGGGATCCCAAAACCACCTGGAATGGGATGGTGGGACCCCAAAAACACCTGGAATGGGACGGTGGGACCCCAGAACCACGTCCAGAAGTGGTGGGACCCCAAAAACACCTGGAATGGGATGGTGGGACCCCAAAAGCACATCCAGGTATGGTGGGACCCCAAAACCACCTGGAATGGGATGGTGGGACCCCAAAACCACCTGGAATGGGATGGTGGGACCCCAGAACCACATCCAGGTGTGGTGGGACCCCAAAACCACCTGGAATGGGATGGTGGGACCCCAAAAACACCTTGAAATTAGAGGTGGGATCCCAAAAACACCTGGAATGGGATGGTGGGACCCCAGAACCACGTCCAGGTGTGGTGGGACCCCAAACAGCCCCCCCGAAATCCCCGGACAATGCCCGGAAGCCCCACCTTGATGGTGGCGATGTGGAAGGGCGTGGCGATGCCGAAGACCGGCATGATGACGCTCTCGTACTTCTTGTCGATGTAGATCTTCATCTCCCGCACGTGCGGCTCCTTGGGCAGCAGCGCCGCGCTCTTGTAGGAGACGTTGGACTTCCGCGCCCTGCCGGGGCGGGGAGCGCGGGAATTCGGGGGGAATCCGGGAATTCGGGGGGGAATCCGGGGATTCGGGGGGGAAATTCGGGAATTCGGGGGGAAATTTGTGAATTTGGGAATTGGGGGGGGGAAATCTGGGAATTCGGGAGGGAAATCTGGGAGTTTGGGGGGAAATTCGGGAATTTGGGAGGGAAATTCAGGAATTTGGGGGGAAATCTGGGAATTCGGAGGGGGAGAGGGGAATTGGGTCAGGATTTGGGTCAGGATCCAGGATCTGGGTCAGGATTTGGGTCAGGAATCGAGATCTGGTCAGGATTCAGATCACGATCCAGGGTTTGGGTCAGGATTTGGATCAGGATTTGAGTCAGATTTCATGATTTGGGTCAGGATTAGGGATCTGGGTCAGGATTCGGGTCAGGATTTGGGATCTGGGTCAGGATTCAGATCAGGATCCAGGGTTTGGGTCAGGATTTGGGTCAGGACTCGGGGTCTGGGTCAGGATTCAGGATCTGGGTCAGGATCTGGGTCAGGATTCAGGATTTGGGTCAGGATCTGGATCAGATTCGGGTCAGGATTCAGGATCTGGGTCAGGATTCGGGTCAGGATTTGGGTCAGGATCTGGGTCAGGATTCGGGTCAGGATTCAGGATCTGGGTCAGGATTCAGGATCTGGGTCAGGATTTGGGTCAGGATTCGGGTCAGGATTCAGGATTTGGGTCAGGATCTGGGTCAGGATTCGGGTGGCAATCGGGGAATCGCCGGTACTTTTGCGTCTGCTGCTCCCCGCGCTGCTCCGTCAGGCGCCGCCGCGCGTCCTCGTTCAGCTGCGCCGCCAACTCCTTCTGGTGCGCCCGGCGCTTCTCCTCCGCCGTCAGCTCGTTCTGCCGCAGCCAGGACAGCGGTCAGTGCGGGCAGTGCGGGCAGTGGGGTCAGTGGGGTCAGTGCGGTCAGTGGGGTCAGTGGGGTCAGTGCAGTCAGCAGGGACGTTGGGGTCAGTGCGGTCAGTGCGGTCAGTGGGGACAGTGGGGACAACGGTCAGTGTGGTCAGTGGGGACAGTGGGCAGTGGTCAGTGGGGTCAGTGTGGTCAGTGGGGACAGCGGGAAGTGGTCAGTGTGGTCAGTGGTCAGTGTGGTCAGTGATGGGTCAGTGGTCAGTGATGGGTCACTGGTCAGTGGTCACTAGTGCTCAGTTTAATGACCCACCCGTGTGCGCTCGGTCAGGACGGCGGTCAGTGATGGGTCAGTGATGGGTCAGTGTGGGGTCAGTGGTCAGTGGTCACTAGTGGTCAGTGGTCAGTGTAGTGACCCACCCGTGTGCGCTCGGTCAGGAGGGCGGCGCGGGAGCTGCGGCCCAGGAGATCCTCGGCCGCGTCCTTGTCCGGCTCCTCCTCGTCCTCATCCTCGTTCTGGGGAGAAAAACCCCAATTTTGGTTATAACCCCAAAATCCTCCAATCCCGCCCCAAAATCCTCAAATCTCACCCCAAAATCCTCCAATCCCACCCCAAAATCCTCCAATCTCACCCCAAAATCCTCAAATTCCACCCCAAAATCCTCCAATCTCATCCCAAAACCCCCCCAAACCCCAAATTCCCCAGGATTCCCCCCAAAATCGGCGGCTCCCGCGGGTTTTCCCAAAATCGCCGGGTTTGGACCCAAAGCCGGGGCTGACCTTGAGGAAAATTCCGACGTTTTTCACTTTCTTCTTCACCGAGGTGAGAACCACGGCCGGGCCGTCCTGCGGAGACACGCCATTGGCTGAGAGCGGCACCGAGACACGCCATTGGCTGAGAGCGGCACCGAGACACGGGATTGGCCAAGGGGAGGGAAAGGAGACACGCCATTGGCCGAGGGGATCGAGAGGAGACATGGGATTGGCCAAGCGGAGAGGAAGGAAAGACGTGATTGGCTGAGGGAAGCAAGAACGCAATTGGCTGAGGAGACGGGCAGGAGAGACACAATTGGCCGAAAGGGTTGGAAGGAAAGGCCACGATTGGCCGAGGGGAACATGGACATGATTGGCTGAGGGAGTGGGAAGCAAAGGCCGCCATTGGCCCAGGGGAGGGAGGACACGATTGGCTGAGGGGATGGAAAGGAAAGGCTGTGATTGGCCGAGAGGAACATGCATGTGATTGGCCGAGGCCATGGGAATGAAAGGCCGCGATTGGCTGAGAGGGTGTGAAGGAAAGGCTGCGATTGGCTGAGAGGAACACGGCCGTGATTGGCCAATGGGAAGGGAAGGAAAGGCCGGGATTGGCCGGGCCGGGCTCCTGCGGTGATTGGCCGTGGTCGCTGGCCCCGCCCACCTCGTCCACCATGACGGTGTCGCCGATGAAGAGCGCGTACGTCCGCTCCTCCGGCCGCTTCCCGTCCCGTGCCGGCAGCTCCGACAGCCCCACGTTGACGCTGAAAACCATCCCTGGAACGGGGTGAAAAACAGCGGAATTGGGAAAAACAGCAAAAACCAGGAAAAAACAGCGGAATCGGGAAAAACAGCAAAAAACAGCGGAATTGGGAAAAACGGCAAAAAACAGCAAAAATCACCGGAATCGGGAAAAACTGCAAAAAACAGCAAAAATCACCGGAATCGGGAAAAACAGCGGAATCGGGAAAAACAGCAAAAAACAGGAAAAAACAGCGGAATCGGGAAAAACAGCAAAAAACAGCAAAAATCACCGGAATCGAGAAAAGCAGCAAAAAACACCAAAAAACACCAAAAAACTCCAGAATCGAGAAAAACACCGGAATCAGTAAAAACACAAAAAAACACCAAAAAACTGCGGAATCGGGAAAAACACTGGAAACATTGGAAACCGCGCGTGGGGGAGGGGAGACAGAGCCAGGGGGAAAAAAACTGGGATTTTTTTGGGAAAAAAGGGGATTTGGGGGGTAAGAGGTGAATTTTGGGGTGAAAAATGGAGAATTTGGGGTGAAAAAGGGGGATTTTGGGTCAGGAAAGGTGAATTTGGGGGCAATAGGTGAATTTTGGGGTGAAAAAGGGGGATTTCGGGGCTCTCACCCTTCTTGAGGCGCTGCTGGTTCTTGCTGTTGATGACCAGGGAGCCCTCGCGGAACTCGATGCCCATGGCGAACCTGCGGCCCCCGAGTGACCCCCGAGTGACCACTGTGGCCACCGAGTGACCCCCAGGCCCGGCTGGACCCAAAACCCCCCGTTCTCACCCCAAATTCTTGGTGATCTTGCCCAGCAGCTCCGGCCGCTGCTTCTTGACCACGTCCATGACGGCGGCGTAGACGTCGCAGAGCTTGGCGCCTGCGGCGGTCACTCGCGGTCACTCGGGGGTCAGTGGGGTCACTCAGGGGTCAGTGGGGTCATTGGGGTCACTCAGGGGTCATTGGGGTCACTGTGGGGGTTACTGGGGGATTACGGGGTCAGGGATGGGGAGGTCAGTCAGTGGTCAGTCACGGGTGGGTCAGTGGTCACTCAGGGTCACTCGGGGTCACTCAGGGTCACTGACCGTGGCGCAGCTCGCGCAGCAGCACCTCCTGCAGCTGCAGCAGGAAGCCGTGGTGGCCATGGGGGGTCAGGGATGGGGTCAGGGATGGGGTCAGTGATGGGTGGGTCAGTCAGGGTCAGTGACGGGTGGGTCAGTGGTCACTCAGGGTCACTCAGCGGTCACTCAGGGTCACTCGGGGTCACTGACCGTGGCGCAGCTCGCGCAGCAGCACCTCCTGCAGCTGCAGCAGGAAGCCGTAGTGCTCCTGCATGTCCTGGCTGGGGTCCACCATCAGCGTGCGCACCAGGTTGGAGCAGTAGGACTTGTAGCGGATGCCCATGGAGCAGGTGATGGCCCCGAAGTGCATGTGGCTCTTGTCGCTACGGCAACGGGGAGAGAACGGCGGGAAACGGGAAAAACGGGGAAAACAGGGAAAATAAATGGGGGAAAATGGGGGGAAAATAGGAGAAAAACAGGGAAAATAAATGGGGGGAAAATGGGGAAAAACAGGGAAAAAATGGGGGAAAAATTAGGGGGGAAAAGGGAAAAAAAAAGGGGGGAAAACAGGGAAAATAAATGGGGGAAAAATGTGGAAAAATGGGGGGAAAATAGGAGAAAAACAGGGAAAATAAATGGGAAAAAATGGGGGAAAAATTCGGGGGGAAAATGAGGTAGAAAATGATAAAAAAAAGGGGGGGGAAGGGGAAAAAAATGGGAAAAAAATGGAAAAAAAGGGGAAAAAATGGGAAAAAAATGGGGGGGAAAATGTGGGACAAAATGAGGAAAAAACAGGGAAAAATGGGAGAAACAGGAAATGCAGGTTAAAGCAGAGAAAAAGGAGGGAAAAACGGGGAAGAAATGGGGGAAATAGGGAAAAATGTAAAAAACGGGAAAGAAAGAGAGAAAAATGGGAAAAAATTGGGATAAAAACCAGAGCCCAGCGAGGAAAAAAGGCAAAAACCACGAGGTTTGGAGGGGGGGGCAAAAAAAATGGGGAAAATTGTCAATTTAGCAAGAAAAAAAATCAGGATTTTGGGGGCAAAAGAGCTGTTTTCAGGGCAGAGCCGTTGTCAGGCAGCAAACCCCGAATTGGGGGTGAAGAGCCCCCGTTTTTGGGGTGAATTTGGGGGGTTTTGGGGCTCACCTGACCACGCTGAACTTGAGGTTGTAGTTGCCGCCGCTCTGGATGATGGGGGGGTAGCACATCTCCACGGCCGAGGGGTCGGCGCCCGCCAGGTACTTCTTCTCCTCGATGGCCTTCTCCACCGCCTCGGCCAGCTTGCTGTGCCGCACCTTCTGCGTTTGGGGCCAGAAACACCCGGTTTGGGGCCAGCCCCGGCTGCTTTGACCACCCGGGGGGCCTCAGAGTCAGGAGTTTGGGGGTTAAATTGGTCATGGGGAGGTCGCCTTAATTAATGCTTTAATTAATGGTGAGGGGGACGAGGAACGGGGTTTGGGTGAAATGGGGGGGGTTTGATCTGAACTGGGCTTGAAATCTTGTTTTTGGGTCAATCTGAGCTCAAAACTCCTGTTTTTAATTCAATCTGACCTCAGAATCCGACTTTTGGGCCAATCTGACCTCAAAACTCCTGTTTTTAACCCAGTCTGACCTCAAAATCCAATCTTTGGTCCAACCCAACATTAAAATTCCCATTTTTAATCCAATCTGACCTCAAAATGAAATTTTTGGACCAACCTGACCTCAAAACTCCCGTTTTTGGGCCAACCTGGTCTCAGAATTCCCACTTTTAATCCAACTTCACCTCAAAATCAAGTTTTTGGTTCAACCTGACCTCAAAACTCCCATTTTTGGTCCAACCCGACCTGGAAATTCCCGTTTCTGCCCCGAAACGCGCGGCCCAACCTCGTCGGCGTCGACGATCTCCATGACGCGCTCCTTGAAGAACTTGGTGAAGACCTCGGAGGTGATGGCGGCCGCCTTGCGCATCAGCTGCAGCTCCACCTCCTCCTTGGCCGCCATGGCCTGCGCCACGGCTGCGCTCACGTCCACCTGCGGTCAGCGCGGCAGCCGTGGGGCTGGGTCCGGCCGGTCCGAACCGGCGCTGACCGCTCCGACCCAACCTTGACCAACCCAACCTTGATCAACCCAACCTTGACCAACCCAACCCAACCCTGGCCCATCCAACCCAACTTCAACTCTTCCAACCCAGATCCAACCCAACCTTGACCCATCCAACCCAATTTTGACCAATTTAACTCAATATTGACCCACCCAACTTAACTCTGACCAATCCAACCCAATTTTGACCAATCCAACCCAATTTTGACCAATCCAACCCAACTTCAACTCTTCCAACCCAACGTTGACCAACCCAACCCAACCTTGACCCATCCAACCCAACTTTGACTGATCCAACCTAATTTTGACCCACCCAAGCCAATTTTGACCAATTTAACTCAATATCTACCCACCCAACCCAACTTTGAGTGATCCAACCCAACTCCAACTCTTCCCACCCAACGTTGACCAATCCAATCCAACTTTTCCGACCCAACTTTGACCAATCCAACCCAATTTTGACCAATCCAACCCAACTTTGACCAATCTGACCCAATTTTGACCAATCCAACCCAATTTTGACCAATCCAACTCAATATTGACCCATCCAGCCCAACTCTTCCAACTCAACTTGGAACCACCCAACCCAACTTTGACCAATCCAATCCAACTTTGAACCATCCCAGCCCCTCCCAC